AGTCTGAGCCTAGAGGAACAGGGCTAAAAATATTTTTAATGGAGGCATTAGCTCCTTCTATACAGCGATTTGAAGCAGACTGAGTAATGCTTCCGAAAGCACTTGAAAATACACTGGTACAAAACCTCCCTGGATTGCCCAACACAGCTACATCCTCATTACGAGAGCACTGTGCACTCCCTGCAACAGCAAAGCCAAGAACCCGTCGCACGGTAGCGGCGGTGGGTAGGGCATGACACAGCGCCCTGCCGCTGAGACGCAGGGAAGAAGGGGGAGCATTTGCACAGGGTATGGGAGCTGCACTACAGCCACTGCTTCCTACCACAAAGGGAGGCAATTCGCTTTACTAAACCTCAAGGCTCTTTATAATCTTTAAATAGCAACTTATAAACCATTGCTGAAAATTCCTCGGCCAGAACTTCAAGTGAAGGATTTGGACCACGCTCTCCAGCGGTCCCCAGTACTGCCCCGTCTTACCAGCATCCCTCTCCCAGGACCAGACACACACACGCTGACACGGACACAAAAACCAGCACGTATCCCTGCAATCCTGGTCACTCCTGATGCACGTGGAAGGGGCTTCTCCAGGTGTGGGCCACCTCCAGGAGGAGAAGCATCCAGAACCATAGGTAGGTTCTAGCCCTGATACCTTTCTGAAAGGCAGGTGGTACAAAACAGCCTGATTAGCAAGACTGCTCAGCAACACGTCAATAGTACGTTGGCAGTTCCTTTCAAAAGCCTTCCCTCTCCCCCTACTTCCTTACGACTTTTTACAGTTTTAGAAAAGTTCGTTTCAGAGAGATAAAAATGGATTGTTTGTACAAAAAGCAAGGGAAAGGGGATTATTTTTTCAGTCTTTCATAAAGCAATACTAAAAATATCAAAGGAGCAACACTTTTTCCAAGCATTTTGTTTCCTTTCCAAAGCCTTTTCTGAAGGAAAAATATTTTCACAGACTTTCAGCATACTCTATTAATAGATTTGCTCTCTTCTCACCTGGCATCGGGCTGCTAATAGGAGAAATCACACCCAATTGGCAAAGAATGATGAGAAATACCTTTCACTTCTAGTCTTTGACTTCTACCTACTCCTAAAATCCACCTTTTACTTTTGTTTTCCTTAAAAATCTTAAGGACACTGATAAAGAAGAGGCCACAGACAACACATCTCGGTACATAAAAATTAAATAATTTAAAATGTAATCCCTCTTCTGCTAGCTCAAGATCCTTCACTGCAATATACTGCATCGCTTTCTCTAGATTAGGTTTTAAATTCTCCAAGGAAAGGACTCCCACCGCTTCCCTGGAGACCTTAAGCCAGACTAACAGATCTCAGTATCAAGGATTTCCCCCCTGCTGTTCAGCCATAATTCTTTCCTTATTTTTTTGTCTCTTGCTGCCACTATACTCCCTCGCACCATGTTAAATTATTCTCCTCTCCACATTGTAAGTTAGCTGCCTACGAGCATAAGAAGAATATAAAACTTTCTACAGCAAATTCTTATCCCAGAGACTATTTCTGTCTGTCAAATAATTATCATTGTTAAATGTGAACTGGGGAAAAAGTAAGATAAGGAATACACACATGGCCTTGGTGGGGAATAAAGTTAATAGGAGATTCAAAATACATCCTTCTTTATAGTTGTCCAGAAATACTCAGTTTGAATCAATGCTACGTTTAACCTGAAACAGCTGATAACATACTTGCTACTGCAAAGCAGCATTTATCATTCTAGTTTAGACAGCTTAAGGTGTGCGTATGAAAATCAGATTAATGCCAGCTAAAGAAAGCAATGTTTCTTCAAATATTTTGCTCTTTTAAGTAAAGAGGTTGTAAACATGTTGTATCTTACATGTATTATAAAGCAAATACACTAAATTAAAAATCACATTTAATTTATGGGTTGCAGCATCCCTTGGATCTTGTAATATTGTTTTCTATGTCAGACCATGGCAGAGTTACAAAGTCAGCATTCACGGATGGCTTGCGAATAGCAGCAGCTTTGAACTGAAGACTCCATTCTGCTTTTAAAGTTAGGTCAATAATATACCTTTTCCACATAATTTACCAATCAAATATCTCTTGTTGGGGTTTTTTTTAATCACTTATTTTTCTCCAACACTAAGCAACAGCACTAGGTATGACTTCAGAGCTCAAGTTTTCAGGCTTCACATTTAATGATGCCATAAGCACTCTGCATAATGGTTTTCTCTTTCCAAAACTTTACGAGCAAGAGCAGGCAGCGTGCACGCTGATCGGAGCTAGGAGACTTGGCATCAGGAACCTGTGTTCTACTCCTGATTGTCTTGATGAATCACTGAGTGACCTCAGAAAAGTCATTTCACCTCTCTTTCTGCAAATGATACAAGCTGTATAGATCTGAATACCTCCTCTTTCAATAAGTGAAACTCAATTCACGAACACCTACAAAACACCATAGAGAATTCTGGAGAAAGCGTGCCAGAGGAGTACTGCTACTTACGTTCAAGGATGCCAAAACTGTGCCAGAAAAATTTCAGGTGGAACAGTCAAAAGACCAGGTGACAAAGAGCTTGTGAAAATTCCTTCCCAAGTTTTGTTCTCAGTCAGTAGTCCGTTACTTTGTGTGTATATGTGTGCACGTGTTTCTTTTCATTTTGGTTTAAACTAGTGCTAGCCACAGAGGTTACGCAGCTGTCCGCGTGAGAAGTTAACAACCGTACCGAATGCTCTTCTCTGTTCTGTTGCAACTACGACTGGGAGCCCCCACTGGCTCCCCGGACCAATGAAGTATCTTACGAAATGCGTGTGATGGTATATTTTTGATAAATCAGTAAGGCATTCCAATGCAATGGTGTTTTCTTTAGAAGTTTTATGTTATGAGAAGCTCTCAACCTTATTATTTTCTATTTTCGTACTATAAATGGGCTTTGCTTACAAACATCAGAGGACAGATACAAAATGTACTGTATACAACTGCAGGTAGCTTCATTTGAGAACAACTTTCTAGAAGAACCAAGTTTCCTGTTGTCTTATTTTGGAATTGTAGTGCATATGTTGAAACTTGTATATCATTTACAGTATTGAGTCTTGTGCCACTGCTGTACCTGATGTATCCAATCTGGATTAAACAGAGTATGTGCCACAAATACCAAGATGATGCTGTAGATTTCTTCTCAAAAAATTCTGGGAAGTTCTTTTGGAGAACTTTGGGTGTTGGCCTAAGCCACTCAAGTTGCATTTAAATACTAATAACTCTTACTTAAGCAACCATTAATGAAAACAGCAGAACAGCCGAGGTGCTACAGGAGAGCAATAATGCAGATTACTAAGTGCATCACCTACAGTATCTTCCCTTTGAACATTAAGAATTGCCACAAAATTAATCTTGGAAACAAAATTATATTATCTTGGCCTTTTCAAACTATGCAGATAAATCCTAGGCAAACCCTCTCCCTGGGGTAATTTGTGACACAAGGGGAGTGAGGCAGAAAAAATAAAAGTATAGAAAGGAAAACATGAGATAGTTATATTTGAAAAAGCACATCTTGTGCCTTTCTTTTAAAAGGCACTCTCGGCAATTCTGGGCCAAAACCTTGCATTCAATAGTGCAGGTAGGGTCTGCTTGTTTCGGCCACAATACACGTAGAGCTGATCTCCTCTTAACCGCATCAGAAAGTGTCACTTAGAGGCGTTATTTAACATTTTCAAGGTTCTTTAAGCAGAAATTAAAATTACGTGTTAGGTGACCTCTAACACGCACCGAGTCGGAGTGGAACAGAGCAGCTCACAGACCATTTTCTCTTGCAGTAAAGGCCAACACCCACCAGGGGCCAGCACTGCCCCAGCCGCAGGAAAACCCAACCCAGGGCAGTGTCCTCGCTTGCCAGTCTCGGGCGAAATTTCTGTGCCACTCACGAGCTAAATCAATCCTGCAATCCTCCCGCACCGTGAAGAGAGTCCGAGTTGCGTGGTATAAAGTTTAGACCCAACCTTTTTTGCCGAGCGGTGGAAGCGCTGCCAGGGACACCACGGGATTTGCAGAGGTAATTTTGCAAGAACATTAGGAACACTGAGGCGAGTGATTTATATAAGCTGAGAAAAAACATACTGAGTTTTTCAAAATTAATTTGAAACTTGCTGAAGGTGAGCAATGAAACGTCCCTGAAGACATCCACTTCACCAAATGAATGGAGCTGCTCTCCTTGGAAGTGTGGTTCATAGTAGGTAGGAAGCAGTGCCTCTATGAAGGAAATTCCAGCCTTACTCTGCTCAAGAGGAAAAAACAAAACAAACCACCAACCAAAAGACTACATCTGCTCGGGTGAGCTTTGAGAAACCAAAGAAACCAGTGAAGAAATTTCTCTCTATGGTCCCACATACACAAAAGTTAGAGGATGAAGCTTCAAAACGAGGAGAGAGTCACCCCAGGGTCAGAAACCTAAGCCAGCCAGTACTGCCATCTTTTCCTGCTTCAGGACAGCTACATGCAGAGCTGTGCAAGCCAAACAGGAAACACCAATTAGTTTTAGTACTAATAAGTAATTTCATTTCTAATCAAAGCTTTCCTGTAAGTGTGGCAAGTCTGACATTGCTGCACCCAGAGGGACAGACCAGTTATGATGGCTGCACATTTTCTACATAATTAAACCATTCTCTGCTGCACAGTTTGCTATACACCTAGCTCTAGAACTGTTATTTATACAATGTTAATTAACTGGATTTAAATTAGCAATACAGGCATCAAGATGCAGGTTTCACTCTGCCACTTAACAGGTATATATAATCAGTGCCTGGTGTATTAGAGAATTACAGAAGATGGAATGATCTCCAGCTATAAACAGACTAGGGAATGTTACAGTGAATTCATCTTCGCCCAGAAGTCATGTGGAAGGCACAAGTCAAGCAAGTAAAACTGAGGCTGGTTTGTATTTTCTCCTTACTGCGATTTCTTATGTAAGTGGCTGCCTTTTATCTTCCTTTGTTTATTTTGGATTGTAAAGATTGCAACTGAACATCCAGCCGTTTCATTTCCTTTTATTAAAAACTTGTAACACCATCACCAGAAGGCATGTAAAACATTTACCTAGACACCACTGCTTAGGAAAGACAACATTTGCCTTCAGTCTTCAACAAAGCCTGTTTGTGTTTGTCAGCGTCCCTGGAGGGCAGCGGTTGTTTGCACAGGTGACACCCGCCCCGGCACAGCCCCCTCGCAGCAGGGTCACTGCCTCAGTCACCACTTTTGAGCAGCTCCTGCAGGTAGACGGCGTTGACGCGATAGGCGCTCACCCAGTTCAGCTCCCGGCAGCTCCTCCTGTACTGGGACGCTGCAGCGTAGTAGTTCTGCCACGCCCGATAGTAAGATTTCCAGTAGTTTTTGTAGCTCCAAGCCTCACATGGAGCACCATCATCCCAAGAGCTGCAGGAACGGTTGTCTTCAGTGTTTCTCGTGGAAGGACTAGGGAACTGATGGCAATGGCTTTTCTTTTGTTTAGCATTTTGTTTCAGAATTTTCTTTTTCATTTGATTTTGCTTTGGGACTTGTGGCCGTCCCTGAGGTTTCTCTGGTGTGGGACAGAAGCCTGCATGACCCTGACGGTCTGTGGGAACAGCATTCGTCTGTGTATCACAAAATGCTTCAGAGCAGGAGACGTTTTCTCTGTTATTGGGGGAAGAAACCCTGGAACTGCACGAACCATCAGTGTCACCAGACCCAACACCGTTTGCTACTGTCTCTGTGTTACGTCTCACCTCTTCCCACTCTACACCATTCCTGGGGAGCTCACATTGTTTTCCTGGGCCTGAATAGCTTCTTAAAATTTCGACCTCTCTGTCCAACCCTTCTTTAATGAAACACTCATAATCTTCCACGAACTCTGAGAAGCTCCAGGGATTGTTCAGTTGGTTTTTGAAAGATGATAAGCATGGAATTTTGGGAAGATTTTTTTTTAAGGCCTCCTCATCTGGAGCCCGAGAGTTACGTTGTCCATCCATCCTGGAGGCAGTTTTGACTTGACTCCTCTGTTCTGTGTGGCAACTGGAAGCTTGAGAGTTTCTACTACTTTTTTCTGTATTTGCAGAATCTATGCACTTTTTTATCTGCTTTTGCTTCAGAGTCTTTTTTGGCCTTTCTACAGAAGAATTACGAACTGGAAGATTAGAAAGAGGCTGAGGTACCTCTGAAAAACTATTTTGGACAGGCTGTAGTACTGGTTCCTCTGGTCTAAGACCCACAGTGTCAGAATTCACTGAAGCACCTGTATGCATAACAGGTTTGACTTCTACCTCCCCATCTTCTAACTGATCCATCATTCCAGGAGGGATAGGCTCTGCACAAAAGGGAAACAAGCAGGCACTCAATTAAGTGCATCCTTCCCTCTAGACTTCAAACGAGCACCGAAGCAAAGCTCTGCAAAATTGCAGACGAGATGTTAAGACAAGGCAAGCTAGGGCTACAAACCGACCCCTTCAATTCTTGGAAGAGCTCAAACAGCCAGAACATTTTCTTCACAGAATGCCTGACAAAGTTCATCAAGACAAACAGCACTGGACTATTTGTCACCTACTTTTCAGATCCTACTTAACCAGATAAAAAAGCAGAACTTATACAAGAAGGCAAATGCTATGTTTCTAGCAGAACAGCTTCTGGCAAAGCAAGGGTAGCAAATCTTCTGCTGCTTCAAGTATTCCTTCCTTCTACTACATCTTACAGCCTGAGAAAGGCTGAATACAAGATTTCTGGAAACCCAAGTAGTTGTGTAGTTGCTCAAGCAAAAGCTGGATGCAGAGTTCCTCTTCTATCCCTAGGCATGCACTACGTTCGTTTTCTATTGCTTCACACAACCGCGGCAGTTACACGAGTAGTTGTTAGCAGAGAGTATGAAAAGCCTGTACCAAAATTAATGCAACTTCAGCAGAGAAGATACATGTCATTTCCCTGGGCACTTGTCTGAAGCTCTGAATAACAGACAACTACCAACAAAATAAGCAGTTGCATTCACAGGACAGAGCATACCTGGTAGAGGAAGAAGCTGAAGGTTACACTTCTGAGCAATTTTCATCATCATGTTTTCCTCCTCTCCGCGGCAGCAGTATGTCACAGATAAACCTAAAGTTCCTGTGACACACAACAGAAGCTGTAAGTACCCAGCTAGAGCCAGTGAAGCCAGTGTAAGCTCAAGAAACCCACGTGACTGTTCTTACCAAAGCGCCCAGCTCTGCCAATACGATGCATGTACGTCTCCCAGTCAACAGGCACATCCAGGTTGATAACCAGATTCACTTTTTCAGCATCAATTCCACGAGATGTCTTGAGAAAGTGACGAGAGAAGGGGATAGATAACTGAATATGCTGCACAGACCTTCAAACAAATACAATACATCGAGGAGGGAGTGCCTCAAACAGAACTGCTGCTCTCTTTGAAGTTGTTTGCGGCTACTATTGTGAGCGTACTGCACTAGAGAAACAAACTATTCCCTCCCATAGCTCCTATCCGAAGGAAACGACTCTGATCCTCTAAAATGCCTGTAAGCTTCCACAAAGCAACAGACACATTAAGAACTATTTTTGGACCAGATAAGGAATAGGGGACAATTTCTATGTTTCACAGCAAAAATAAGTCTCTGTCAGTGCTCAGGTCACACGCATTATCGGTACCTTTACGTTCTACTCAATTCCAAGTCGGATCTAATACTCTGAAGTGACTTTATGTGCAATACTCATGTTTGCTATAAAATACTAACTCACCAAGTCTGTGGAGATCAGAACTCTACAGTGGAATTGCTTCAATTTAGCCATAGCATCAAGTCGCTGATTTTGATTCATGCCACCTAGAAAGACATAAATCAGAAACAGATTACATGTCAGTTTTGTGCCACTCAAATTCCATAAAAACACTTTGTAAAACTGTAGATGAGATCGGAGACAAGGCTGAGAGAAACCTCCTCAAACATCAGTTCCAAATGAGTAAACAAGGAACAAACAAAGACTAGAAAATAAGGAAATCCCTTACAAAAATAATTATTTTGCTTGCTTTTAAAGAGAAACCAATCATGTAAATACTTAACCCACTTGAACAACACTGATTTTAGACAAATTTTACTTAAACACATAAGCCATGGAAGACACTGTTGAAGTAAAAATTCAAGGTTTCTAATAAACATTAGAAAAAGCTGATAGCTGACACCTACTGCAGCTAGAAATAAAGATTTTAATTCAACATCTGCACTCCAAAGAAAGGCTGCTTCAATCTGAAAACATCAATTAAACTTTCTCCTTACAAATAAACCAATGCACTGATCTGGATATTCACAGAAATGACTCTCAAATGAATTTGAAAACAAATACTAATTTTTACATTGTTTCCTAAGTCCTAAAGACCTATGAAGATTCAAATGCTATTCTTTGTTATTTAACAAGAGGGCACACAAACCAAGATTTAAGATTAGTTTTCCTATTTTAGGTCACATTTATGCATAACTTCAACAGAATCAGAAAGTTTTGAAGGGACTTACCTGAAATGCACTCAGCAGGAAAGCCTCTGGATGTTAGTATTTCAGCTAGATGTTGAGCCCTGACAGAATATACACAATGAAAATTGTAAATAAAACAACAGACCTTCACAATGGGCTATTCTACAGTCCAGAACTGCCACTCTCCTCTTTATGTCTACAACACAGAGATGGAAAAGGACAACAGGACATCAGGCCCCACCGTACTCTGAACAGTGCACGAGGTACCTTCACACTAAAGCATTCCTTTATTTTCAGTATCTCACACTGCATTCCTCAGACTGTATTTCTGATCTGAAATTTGCATACTGCTTTGAAACCTTACAGATTTTCTATATGTTTATCCAAGACAGGACATAACTACTGCTTTTGAACTTGCTTTTTACAGATTTTACTTCAAATTTATTACCTGCTATGCAAATTTGAGAAGACTAAGGCTTGATTAAAAGGAATCTTGCTGAACAACTCCTGTAGGTGATGGGTTTTTTCCTCAAATGTTTTATGCGGAAGCGGATGGGAATTCACAATTTTGTAATACTGCTTCAGCCCTGAGCATGAAACAAAAAAAAAAAAAATCTGTTAGATTAAGGGTTTCCAGAAAGACAGGTACAGTGCTATGCTGATATCAACACGTGTCACTGCAGCTAAAACAAAAATGTTTAAATTTAAACAAGCACACACACCTGCCAAACCAGAACATACAGAAGAGGTTTTTCTTAAAAGGTTAAAATATTTTTTTCATCCAATAGAAAAAGTAAAAAGCTCTATTCATCACTGATGTTTTAAATACATCAACACTGGGAATAAATACTTCATACGCTAACCAACTCACCTGTGAAGGGAAATTATGAAGAATCACAAGTTTTAAAGGTACATGTTTTGGTTTTAGTAGTCTTCTTAATCTATCGATACAATATCACTATAAAAGCACCTCTACTTACCAATGAGACTTGGATCAGTAGGGTTCAACCTCACAAACGTTGGGTCTCTCATGTACCTGGTCAAAGCATTAGCTAGTGATTCGGGATAAGTAGCTGAAACAGCAAGCATCTGTTTATTGGCTGGCAGCGAAGAGTAAATCCAACTGTGAGACAAAGAAACAGGAATGAGTAACAAATATGTATCTAATGTACTGATAAATGCACAAGATAAATGTTTTTCTTACTTGATTTGTTCCTGAAAGCTGCCTTCTTCTAGAAGCTTGTCTGCTTCATCAAGAATGAAAAGCCGGATACTGGCCGTATTCAAGTAATCCAACTCTATGAGTTGTTTTATTCGACCTACATACGAGAAAAAAGTAAAAAGGAACTTCAAAAATATTAATTAAAAGGTTCTAATGATCAATTCTGTAATTTTTTAAAAAAAAACAAATAGGCCTTAAAAAAAGGCATGTTTGGAATAATCTCTCATTAACAATACCTGGTCTAAATGTCTCTGGCACTGACCTTTGAGACTATCTCCTATTACTAAAAACAAACAAAAAATCATCCCACATTTTAAAAGCACCAATTATTGTACTGTGAAGTATCACACGGTATCCAAAGCACAATGAAGCTCATCCATACCCGGGGAACCAACTGCTATGTGGCACTTCTTTAGTCTGACTTTGTCCTGACTCAAAGGAGTCCCTCCAATGAAGACGTGGCACTCCAAGCCTTCCATTTTTATTCCAATAGTTGTGATCACAGCATGAATCTGCACAGCAATCTCCCGTGTAGGAGCCAGGATCAGAATCTGTAAAGGGCCAAGGATTCAGTTTGAAAGCTGCAGGGCAGTCCCGAAGATTAAAGCCCAGCATCGAGTCGTGATGATTTCAAACACCATGCCCCACAGCAGACAATGTCGTTTGCCCAGGAAAACGAGCGCTTCCCCCTCACAAAGCCAACACACCCACCCCCGCGTTACGGTAAAGGCGGGCGGCCCGGGCGCTGCCGCCACCCGGGGCCGGGGCTCACCTGCGTGGCGGGGCTCTCCAGCAGCACCGCGTCCAGGGCGATGGTGGAGAACACGCAGGTTTTGCCCGTGCCAGACTTGGCCTGCACGATGAGATCTGTAAAAAGCGGCCGCAGAGGTCAGGAAT